TCCTTCTCTCCCTCTCTCCCTCTCTCCCTCTCTCCTTCTCTCCCTCTCTCTTACGTTTCTGCGTTCCTCTCTTTCCTCCGCCTCATTTCTACTGCTTTTTCGTTTTCAGATGATGGTATCAATCTCATCATGTTTACCACATGAAAGTGATTGAATCATTCATCTGATCGAGTCTGATAATTCAAAGAAAGACATGCAATCAATTCAGCGGAAGACTCAAAAAAAGAGAGACCTGACTGATCAGAATCACGAATCAACAAAGGCATACAGCACCATCATACAGAGATGCAAAGAGAGGGAGAGAATAGCATACATGGAAGAAGCAAGGTCCCTTCTTGCACAAGACACACGCAGAGAGAAATCCACAGATGAAGAAGATGGTGATGATGCAATGTGGAATGCTACCAACTAAGCGCGCCCGCGTCCCTCCTTTTTTTTTTTTTTAAATGACGACGGCCTTGAGATATCATCATTTTATTTATCGTACCGGGGCCTCAGGAAATTGAGAAGGCCTTTTTTCTGGTCATCATCTGATTCTATCTGGATTCGACGAAATGGGGTCCTTGGGTATACAGACTTAGCTACCGTCTTCAGCCGCGAATAGAACGCCCGGTCATTATTTTTCTGTATTTTTTTTTTTTGTGGGCAGCTTTCAGACCAGATGCAGCGATAATGWYAGGGGYYTTTTTTTTTTTTTTTTTTTTTTTTTTCGACTGGGSGTTTTWTCCGAATGATGAAGACGGTAGTAGGCCCGTTGGTAAACGAATGTCTTATTGGCTTTTTTGCTCTAACCTTGTGTTTTTTTTTTTTTCTTTCTTTCTTTTTAAACCTTGTGTTCATTAATATCGACCCTTCATGGCTTTGTCAGAACCCCCCCCACCCCACCCCACCCCTCCCCTTTGTGCGTGTACGAATCCAGATACAATCAGATGACCAGATGAGATGGTCGCGCCAGAACAAAAGACATTATGCTATGTTGATGGGTCATATGGCCGAGCACGATGAGGCCTCATCATGGTCTGAAATATGATGGATCATCACCTGATGGGTGATGGTCGTCTCATATGATACATCATCAATCATCACGTCCATCGATGGTCATATGATACGTCAGTCATCACTTCCATTTTTTTATTTTTTTTATTTATTATTATTATTATTTTTAATCACTTCCATTTTTGGCGCTGTATCTTCCCATGCTCTAATAAACACAGAAGTCCGACGCATGATGCTCGTCGTGATTCTTTTTTTTTTCTTTTTTTTTAAATGATGCATCAGGCGTTTCCACACGAAAGCCATCAGGCAATGTCATGCAGGCCGAGTGGAAACGCAGTTAGTTATTCCGCTCGGCTTTGTCTTGTCGAAGAGAATGAAGCTAATCATTTGCGATATACAGGGGTCGCTGCACTGCTCACCAACTGTGCAAAATGAGAATGAATCATCCGCTAGAACATGGGAAAATGCACCGCCATTTTTTTTATTTATTTTTTTTCTTTCGTGCATGTGGAGAGTAGTGGAGCGAGGCCCATCTAGCTCTCTCTCTCTCTCTTAATGTTGTCCTTTGGGGTTTCAATAACTGACTGCGACCCTCCCTTCTCCTTTGGCCCTTGAGTTATATCATGAATACACCCGCAATATCCGCCGAAATACATGCTACTCCACTGGGGGTGTGGAAGGGTCCATTTGTAGATTCTTCTCTGTTGAAAAACCTTTTCGCGTCCGGCTAACCAGAGTTGGAAAATTTGCTCTCGCAGATCTTGAATTTATTTTGTCTGCATTTGTCAGTTACTCTCGGGGATACGCCGGATACAAGTTTGTGAACTTTCGTGGATGTGTCGGGGATATGGCGATGGAACTTTCGGGGATATAAGTCTGCACGGTGGTCAAGAAGAGCAAATGGCAGAAGAAGAAGAATTGGAAACTGGAATTGGAAACTTACTACAGACAACAATCTGTCCGTCCGCACCGATCTAAGGATCGAACACGTGATCTCCACGTCAAGAGGCAAACACTCAACCAATCGGCTAAGTGGACTGGGGTGAAAGTTAAGCCCAAGTACTTAACCCCACCCCAGCACGGGTACTCGTTTTTCCCCGGGTCGTGTGTAGACGTAGCCACCATACAGTGTACGACCTCACTGCTAGTTGCCACGCAGGTAAGAATTGGAGAAGAAGAAGAAGAAGAAGAATAGATCCTACTTGCACGAGCCGCAGGTAAGAATTGGAGAAGAAGAAGAAGAAGAAGAAGAAGAAGAAGAAGAAATCTACTTGCACGAGCCGATAGCAAGAATCGAACACGCGACCTCCCAAATAGGAGTAGGACGCTCAACCAAACGGCTAAGCTGATTGGGGTGAAAGTTAAGCCCCAAGATCAATGGAATCCCTACGCTTCACGTGCCGACCCTAAGAATAGAAAACACGCCCTCCCGGTCAGGAGGCAAACACTCAGCCAAACGGCTAAGTGGACTGGGGTGTGACAGTTAAGCCCCAAGATGATGATGATGAAGAAGAAGAAGAAGAAGAAGAAGAGGAGTATGGCTATGGCGATGGTGGTGTCGATGAGTAATGCTCTTGTCATCGTCTCCTTAGCCACGGAAACGATCGTTATGATGTCGTGGAGGAGGAGGAGGAGGAGGAGGAGGAGGGGGAGGGGGAGAGGAAGGGAAACAGATGGGAAAGTTGCTGTGCAAAATTGCTGACGTGTCGCAATCTGGGCGCTTCAGAGGGGAGGAGGAGGAGGAGGAAGAGGAGGAGGGGAAGAGGAAGGTGATGACGTGTGTCAATGTGGCCGCTTCGCAGAGGAGGTGGAGGAGGAGGAGGAGGAAGAAGAGGAGGAGGAGGAGGAGGAGGAGGGGGAGAGGAAGGTGCTGACGTGTGGCAATGTGGGCGCTTCGGAGAGGAGGAGGAAGAAGAAGAAGAAGACGAGGAGGAGGAGGGAAAGGAGGAAGAGGAGGGGTGAGGAAGGGAAACAGATGGGAGAGTTGCTGTGCAAAATTGCCGACGTGTCACGATCTGGGCGCTTCATAGATCCGCCACTGATTGGTGTCCGTCAGCGGATTGCAATATGTCAGCAGCGGATCTATGAAGCGCCCAGATCGCGACACGTCAGCAATTTTGCTTCAGGTCGCGACGTGTTAGCAATGGATACGATTCAGTTGTGACGTCATTACCACTATCTTCCCCCGACGCTACGCACCCTCGGTGTGCCTGTGCCCGACCTGGAAAGTAGGTTGTGTACGTTCGTGATCGGGGTGCGTTATGCTCGGGGGAAGACGCTATGGTGTGCATGGCCTCTGCTTCGCATAAACATAATGTCTGAAGTGTGCAGATTGGTACACGTCAGCAGATTGCGACACGTCAGCAGACAGGTTGGCAGTTGAAAGGAGAGGATGCCTTTGATTAGGTTTTCGCCAAACTCCGCTGTACATCATTTTGGATGTGATTGAATGATTGGATTGATTAATTGATTGATTGATTGATTGAGTGGTTGGTTGATTGCTTGATTGCTTGACTGATTAGATTCAATTATTGTCTGTTTGTTTGTTTGATTGGTTGATTGGTTTGCAGATTGATTGATTTATTGATCGGTTGATTGAATTGATTCTTGAATGTTTTGTTTGATTGATTAGTTGATTGATTGGATGTGATTATTCTTGATTGTTTGATTGATTGATTGATTGATTGATTGATTGATTGGTTGATTGATTGATTTGATTGATTGATTTGATTGATTGATTGATTGATTGATTGATTTATCAATGGTAATCGATTGAAGTTACTAATTTAAATTAATAGATTAAAAATCGTCGGCAGGCAAATTGAATAGCTGAATGGATTGGCAAAAATGGTTATCCATTTCTCTTGTTACCTGTGTTCATCTCAACTTGCTTCGTCCTTTTTGGTTGGTCCAATCAATCAATCAATCAATCAATCAATCAATCAATCAATAAACCAATCAATCAATCAAAGCTTTTTCTTTGTTCTTGTTTTCTTTTTTCCTACATTGAGATGGTATGATAAAAGTATGGATTGCACATACTGTGATTAACTTTTCAGAAATTAAAGATTACAATTTTTTTCGATTCGGGTATTTTGATTTTGCAGGTTGCAAGGCCTTCCGGCCACCATGGTTTGCTAGAGGAGGATGAGAAGGAGCAGGAGGGTAGAAGCTCAAAGCCACTTGGCTCAGAAATGTTTTCACAGCCAGCATTTGTCAATGTTTATGTAGGAAGATTTTCCGCGGAGGGGTAAGCTAATTGTGCAGAATCTGCCCC